GCGGTGGCCGGGAGCGGCCACTGCACTCCAGTCTGGGCGACAGAGTGAGACTCCAACTCAAAAAAAAGAAAAAAGAATTTCTTTGTGTATATTCTGGTGTTCAGTAGTGTATGTCCTTTGTTGAGATTAAGGTACAGAGGTTTCTTGAAAGGGTGACTTTCAAGAGGGCATTCAGAAGAGTGAGATTTAAAATTAGCTGACACAGGAAAGGTGCCTATATGAAATGCAGTCACTTGATTCTAAAGCAGCGGTTCCCAAACTTTCAGTATTTTTTTTTCCTGTTGTGTAGACTTTTAGCACTGTACTTGTTTTATTACAGCAACTGCTAACAGCTGCGAAGAAAACCTAAGATTTACAAAGTAATGGTATCATCGAAAGGAATATAACACATTATATTTGGAACCACTTGGAGCTAGTAGTTTTTGAGGTATTGAGCATAGTATCATTGTGTTTTTCTCAAAAGTATAACTATTCCACAGCACCCTAGAAGTTTGCTGTGGTCCTCTAGGGTACCAGATGCAGTTTGGGAACTGTTGCAGGTGTAAAGAGTTATTTTTTGATTTATTTCTTATTGTCAGTATTTCATTATCATATGACACAGGTTAAGAAATAAATCTCAGCCCAGGGGTTGGAGGCCAGTCTGGGCAACTTGGCAAGACCTCGTCTCTACAGTAAATCAAAAAAATAGCTGGGTGTGGTGGCGCACACCTGCAGTTCCAGCTACTTGGAAGGCTGAGATGGAAGGATCACCTGAGCCCAGCAGGTCGAGGCTGCAGTGGCCGTGAGTGTGCCACTGCACTCCATCTTGGGTGACAGAGTGAGACTCCGACTCAAAAAAAAAGAAAGAAAGAAATAAGAAATAATACTCATCTATGAGAGATTTTTGGAAGCCTTAGAAATGGGTTTTTCTTCACTTAAATGTAGGTGGGGCTGGGTATGTTTCTCATTCCTGATACCTGTACTATTTTGCTACTTTGACCACTTGAGGCACAACCAATTAGAAGGTAAGGACACAAAGAGATAATTAAGTTGTTGCTCCTACTTCTATTTAGCTTCCTACCTGAAATTCAGTGATTATAATTATAATAGAAGGGGGAAAAAGGAAGTGTAGATTTCCCACAGCGGTATTCTTGGTATTTATGTCATTTATCTCTTAGAATTTAAAAAAAATAGTAAATGATGAAGTCTTAAAATAACACAAGCCCAGCAAAGAATGATGGCTCAGAAATGATTAATTCAGGAAACCTTTCCAAAGGATTAGTGAAAAAGAACACTCCTTTCATTCCCCTGTGGGTGAACTCTTGCCTTCTTTTTGAAGTTGACCATTGGAAAACCTAAAGGTGCTTAGACAGGCCAGAATGAGAAATAGTTACTCCTCTGACAGGTGGGCTTTGATAACAGTTGTGAAATTTAACACATTTTTCTTTTTACTTATACTTGGCAAAAGGACCATTGAAATTTGAAGTTTGACTTCAAATTAATTTCATCATGGGTCATCACAGTGTCCTTACACCTGGAACATGTTGAGGTTTTTTTCTTTTTTTTCTTTTTTTCCCCCTCTCTCTCTTTTCATCAAAAGAAAGGAATATAACACATTATATTCGGAACCACTTGGAGCTAGTAGTTTTTGAGGTATTGAGCATAGTATCATTGTGTTTTTCTCAAAAGTATAACTATTCCACAGCACCCTAGAAGTTTGGAGCCAGGGAATGACTAGAGAAGACCAACTTATATGATTTAAAGAATAAAAAGATTTTCCCATGAGAACAGTCTAAATTTTAGGACTAATCTGGAAAGATGCAGAAGGAAATGATCAAAGTACACAGTTCTGGCTGTATAGCTCTCCTAAGTTGGGGGACTTATGAAGCTTTAAAGGGACAGTTTTCATGTAGAGAAAAAAGTCACAGTAGAGGCTTAAGGTGTTTGTTGATCCTACCTTCCCCCATTTGTTTCCTTTGTTATTGCTGTTATTTATGAATCACTGCATTGTTTCTGATATTTTATATATTTTTCTCTTTCTTTGACTTATTCATCATATTTTCTCCAGTGTTAGTTTGCATTCTTGACCTTTTGCATTGCTTGTCCCAATTTTAAGGAAATTACTTGAAGTTGTTCCATCCCCATGGTGCCATTTAATCCTTGGAGAACTACAGAATAAAGCAGTCATAACTTTGACCCTGGTATTGATACTAGTAGTTCTGGGAATAAACAATGCTCACCTGTCTTCTGCTATATATGGTCTCTCTAGTTCACATTCGCTCTCTAGCTATGTTTTGAAAATCTCAGTTAGAAAGCCAAGCTAACTTACTAATTAAGAGAAGAGACCTTGGTGTCGAAATATTTCATCTTCACTTCCAATCTTTGTTTTGCCACTTAAGAGCTCTGCAATACTGGGCGAGTCACCTAGTTTCTGAGCTTCCATTTGCTTACAGAGTTGTGAGTAGATCTATTAACATGAAAGACACAAGGTCAGGCCTCTCTTAAGTTTGCAATTTTTTTTTCCCACTTTTCTCTCCATTGCTGGAGGTTCACAGAAACAATGTGTAGAATTTTAGTAGTTTATAAGAATTTTTTAAAAAATTTATCATAGGAACATTTCTTATGATTTTGATATAGTCTCAGTATCTGAGTATAAATTCCTGAATTTATATTTTTTTTCCTAGTTCAACTGAAATTAAGGGGAAAAATCTGGAATCTTAGTGCCTTGTCTCCAAACTGACTATATTTCTGTTTTAGAAAAGAGCTTAGTACTGATCAGGTAGTCAACTTTAAGTTTTAGAATCAGTTTCTTCATTTCTGCTTGGCAAATTACTACAGTTAAATAATTTGCAGTGAACAATTATGAATATCAGTATTTACCTGAGGAACATCCTGCAAAGGAATCTCTTCCCTCACTAATAAAAAACAAAATTGCTAATGGTTCAAGTAGTTAGTTCTCGTATCCATAGGCCGATGACTGAAATGAAATACTTTTAGTCTCAAGTTCCTTTTTATATTAAAATGTATTTATCATGAAGAGAAAAATAAAGAAAGAGCCTGTCTTCTTAATTCTCCATTGTCTTTTTGACATTTAAAGGAAGAACCTAGGCTGGATGTCTTGATCAATAATGCAGGAATCTTCCAATGTCCTTATATGAAGACTGAAGATGGGTTTGAGATGCAGTTTGGAGTGAACCACCTGGGCCACTTCCTACTCACCAACCTTCTCCTTGGACTCCTTAAAAATTCAGCTCCCAGCAGGATTGTAGTAGTTTCTTCCAAACTTTATAAATATGGAGAGATCAACTTTGAAGACTTGAACAGTGAACAAAGCTATAATAAAAGCTCTTGTTATAGTCGGAGCAAGCTGGCTAACATTCTTTTTACCAGGGAACTAGCCCGCCGCTTAGAAGGCACAAACGTCACTGTCAATGTATTACATCCTGGTATTGTACGGACTAATCTTGGTAGGCACATACACGTTCCACTGTTGGCCAAACCACTCTTCGATTTGGTGTCATGGGCTTTTTTCAAAACTCCGTTAGAAGGTGCACAGACTTCCATTTATTTAGCCTCTTCACCTGAGGTAGAAGGTGTGTCTGGAAGATACTTTGGGGATTGCAAAGAAGAAGAACTATTGCCCAAAGCTATGGACGATTCTGTTGCAAGAAAACTCTGGGACATCAGTGAAGTGATGGTTGGCATATTAAAATAGGAACAAGGAGTAAAAGTGCTATTTATAAAACTGAATATCAATGATATTTTGATCAGGAATAGTGTGACTTGATCACTTGCTACTTGGAAAAAAATGTTATTACAATAGTACTGCTGAGAGGTACATGTGGACATTTTGTAGTTACTAAAGTTACTTTCTGGATAACAAAATGTCAGCAAAGATGTTTTAAATATATACAATAAGTAAAATGAATAAAAAATATAGTGAAAAGTGCAATTATATTTTAAAAATTGTAATTGGGCAGGCATGGATGGCAAATATTAAGGCATTTGTTGACTTAAAATACTGTCTTTGAGGTTTCTCAAATTTCATTTGAGTTTTACGGCCAAAGTATTAAATATTTTTACTATAATGCTGGTTTTGGCGTGGAAATAATATGCCTGGCGTGTGTACACAAAAATACTTGGAATAAATTTATGGATGCAAATGTATACTTGTGTGTTTCTTTAGGAGTTTCACTGAGTACTGCCCTTTATGATGTCGTCATCAGCCTCTACTGATCTTGGTATGCCCAGTCTTTTCTTGCCTTGTATTTCACAAATTGCTCTGAGAGATAATATTTCTAAAACTCTAATCCATCACATCCCTCATTGAAAAACTGGGTTTTGAACCTTTTTTGAAAATCTGCAGAATTATTTCTTCAAAATAAATGATTATGCTTTTACTCAAATGCATTAATAGACACTGGATGGATAAAACAGGTTATTGCAATGCTGCCAATGTGGATTCCCCTAAGGCTCTTTCCAAAAGGATTTTATAGAATAATAACAATAGTTTATAAACTGCTTCTGTTTATCTTAACATTTAAATTCTTTAATATACTTTCGAGACTCTTCATGAGCTGGTGACAGGCTCACTCTGTACTCTTATACTCAGCACTGTCCAGTAGAACTTTCTGCAGTGATGTTAGTTATTGAGTACTTGAAATATAACTGAGAACTGAACTTATAATCTTATTTAATGTTAATTCAAATTTAAATAGGTACATGTCTAGTGGCCAGTGTCTTAGATAGCACATCTCTAGTCATCAGATACTCCAGTTCTGAAGGGAGAATTATCACCCACTCACTTGCCTCTGAATCTTTCTTTATATTGTTCTTTCAGTCTGGAGTACTCTTCCCTTTTTCCTTGGGAATACCAATCTTTAGAGTTCTCTTAAGTATGTCCCTTTCTCCAATCCCTATAGGCAGAGACAGTTCTCTGTCCTTTGTTTTCATTGATCTCAGTAGTTTCACTAGGAGGTTAATGTACTAATTATTTATTGACAGGTTCAGTTAGATAATTAGGATAAATCCCCTTTCCTTAGATAATTAGAATAGGAATTCTCTTAAAAATGTGATTTATTCTCATTTTCCTCCCTTAAGAATCAAGTATAGTACCTGACACAGTAAAAAATTCAAAGAATAATTATTGACTTTTGTGTATTAAAAAAAGAGCCCCAATAGGAATATTATAGGCATCTGTGTTATAGCATCAAAAGTATTTCATTTTAATTGTCTTGCTATCTCCTAATATTGGAAAGAGGAATTATGACAGAGGAATTATGACACTAAAGGGTAGACAGTTACACTGAATTTAATAACTATTTTGGCCAGGGCTAATTCTTGATTGATTATTTTTAAGAGCATTTATAATATCTGTGCTAATTCTTAATTGGTTATTTTTAAGAACATTTATAATACCAGTATCAGTTTTCGAGAATAGCAGGACTTTGGCGTATTGTACAGAAGATCTGTTTTCTGTTAGAACACTGCTTTGTGAATAGAGAGAAACACTTAGTGTTTGTATCATCACAGGTGTGTCTCTGCAGGTGTACTGAGTATAGCTGCATCATGTTCTTTGAAACATTGTATTTTTAAAAAATAATTCTACAGAGAGACCTGGTGAACTTGGAAATATGGGCAGGAAATACACCAGAATGCAACTTGAAAAAATGAAAGCTAATAAATCTGTCCTACACCTTGACTTCATTAAAAAGGAGCCCCCTTTTTTTCATTTAATACCATCTTTTCTGACTGCATTTTGATACCTGATGCTTTTCAGGGGATTTGGACCTTTTGTAAGCATTGAGACTTTCAGAGTTCTTGTTTGTGGCACCACAATAAAATGAGATATATTAATTTATCATGATGGAAAACTAGAAACTTATCTGGAAACACCAACTATTAAGGAAAAATGAGCTGCCATTTGGATGATGTCCTTCCCACCACTGTGATGGAATCAAGGACTAATAGCTCCAGAATGACTACTTAGATTTTGAAGATTGTTCAAGCACTTTACTTCTCTCCTTCTTTCTCCCTTTTGCTGACTCACTTTTAACCATTTCACTGAGCAAAGAAACAAGTAAAAGGCAATATTTTTCCTTCAATATTTGCTTTCACTCTAAGAAATATATTGTTAGAGAGAAGCCTGCAATATCCCAGGTAATGGTATAACCCATTTACCATGCTGGTTTTTGGCCTTAGTTTTTGCAAAATTGCTTTCTGTTCATAGCAGCCTGTTCTGCTGGGGTAAGATTGCTGGACCTTCTGTCTCAACTTCACTCAGACTGACTATTTTATACAGTGGGGTTCTAAGTAGCATTTCATTGACAAAGGGTTTTACAACTTAAACACATTACCACATTGCAATTGACTATCAGCTCCACTACTTAACTCTTCCTGTGACCTTGGCAAGTTACTTAACCTCTCTGAGCTATTGTTTTCTTGGCTCAAGATTGAGATATAAATGCATACTTTAAAGGACTGCTCAGTATATGAAAGTGGCAGAGTAAGAAAAGCATTAAGCAAAGTTCTTGGCACACATAGACACACATCCATTTCTCCTTCCTCAATGCACCTGATAGCAATAAGGCACCAAATTAATAGTTATAAACTGTACTAATGGTTAGATGAGTACCTATGATAGAAACAAATTAAACCAAGGATTAGCAGTCTTTATGAGAAGGCTAGATTGGGAATATTTAAGGTTTTGTGGGCCAAATATAGCCTATGTATGCTACATATTCATACATTTTTTTAAAATTTACAATTCTTTAAAAATGTAAAGACCATTTTTAGCCAGCACAGACCATAATATTGGTACGTATGTGGCTGGTACAGTCTTCCAAACCCAATGTACTCATTTATCTTTAAGATTCTGTGTATGGGAGTAGTTGTCCTGTTTGCTGTAACCCTTATTACTCTATAAGGCTGCGGTTGTTTTTTCTTGTTATTTCTAATTTTGTATGACTATTTGCTTATATATTCAGATAGTCTAGAGAGTGTATTTTTAAAATCCACCTCCAGCTATAAATTCTGGTGTGAGGACTAGTACAGCTCTTTTCCCTGACAAACCTGCTGGGTCTGGCCAAAGATCTGAGAGAATCCATATTTGAATATTTAATTGATTCCAAATGTCCTAAGGAACACTGAAGAGAAAACATGTTACTAATCACCCTTCAGGAGCTTGGTCCCCACAGACTGCTTCAGATGTTTCACAAACCTTCTCTGGACAATGGGGAGTTAAATTATTTACAGGTTAAGGTGGAGAAAGGAAGTTTATTCCTAGCAGAAAGTTAGATGGAGTGCTCAGTTTTATGCAGACAGTAGGGAAAAGTTTTTGCTAAGCCAGGTGTTTAATCAAAGTATAGTTTTAAGCACTTTTAACCAACCACCATCTAACAGACTTGGTGTAATAACTGATTCTCCCTTATTTTTGAAAAACATACTAATGCCCATAGCATGTGAATCTTCTGGGCAGATGGACTTCTCTTTAGCACACAAACATCCCTTCGGTTCCCTCCTGTTCTATTATATATCTGAGTGAGCTGTGTACTATTGTAGTAACATGTAGTCACTTTAAACATATACATTTATTGAGTACCTCTTATGTGCCAAGTCTTATTCTAAACTGTGGGGATACAGGAGGAAACAACACCCAACCCAACCTGTGTATGCATGTGCCACTCTGCCTGTTATTAAGCAAAATGCAAATTATTAACTAAAATACAAGCCAATTAAATATGAGTACAAAGAGAATGAATGTATATGCAAAGTAAACAGAGTACTTTGTAAAAACTAAATGAAGGCAAACCACTAGAAATTTACTGTTGAATAAAGTTTCAAAACAACTGTCAAATACTAACAATAAATACTGTAAAAATATAAAAGGTGTCTGTATTTAGTATTGCAAGTAACTTTAAGCTTTGAGTACATTTTAAGGATACAAATGTTGGAAATAATAAACTATACTATTTGAGCACAGACATAACTGGAAAATATTGCTGATTTTGTTCCAGACCATCAAGATAAAGCAATTATCACAATAAAGGAAGTCACACAAATTTTTTGGTTTCCCAGTGCATATAAAAGTTATACTATATTCTATTAGATATGTAATACTATTATTTCGAATAAATAATATACATACCTTAATTTTAAAATGCTTAATTAAAAAATGCTAATGATCATCTGAGACTTTGGAAGTCGTAATCTTTTTGCTGGTGGTGGATCTTGCCTTGATGTCAATGGCTGCTGACTGATCAGGGGGGTGGTTGTTGAAGGCTGGGCTGGCTGTGGCAATTTCATAAAAATAAGACAATAATGAACTTTGCCGTATTAACCAGCTCTTCTTTTCTTGAAAAATGTCTCCATAGCATGTGATGCTGTTTCACAGCATTTTTACTCACAATAAAAACTGTTTTCAAAATTGAAGTCAGTCCTCTCAAACCCTGTCATTGCTTTATCAACTAGGTTTTTATAATATTCTAAATCCTTTGGTGCTACTTCAACAGTATTCACAGCATCTTCACCAGGAGTAGATTCCATCGCAGAAAACCACTTTCTTTGCTTATTCATAAAAAGTAACTCCTCAGTTATTCAAGTGTTATCATGAGAGTGCAGCAATTCAGTTACATCTACATGTTCCACTTCTAATTCTACTTTTCTTCCTATTTCCACCACATCTGCAGTTCCTTTCTCAACTGAAGTTTTGAACCATTCATCCATGAGGATTAGAATCAACTTCTTTAGACTTCTGTTAATGCAGATATTTTGACCTCCTCCCATGAATCACAAATGTTCTTATGTTCTTAATGACTTCTAGAATGGTGAATCCATTCCATAAAGTTTTTAATTCAGTTGCCCAGATCCATCAGAGGAATCATTACTTATGGCAGCAATAGCCTTATGAAATGTATTTCTTAATAAGACTTAAGAGTCAAAATTACAAAATTGATCTATAAGCTGCAAATTAGTTGTTATGTTACCAGGCATGAAAACCACATCAATCTGCTTATACATCTCTCTGAGCGCTTAAGTACCTGTGTGCATTGTCGGTGAGTAGTAACATTTTGAAAGGAATCTTTCATTTTTCTGAGCAGAAGTTCTCAATAGTGCATTTTAAATACCTGGTAAATTGTGCTGTAAACAGATGCGCTGTCATCCAGGCT